CTTCTGCGATAATTTATCCACACAACTACATTGTATATACGCCATGCTTGTTTCTTATATAATGCAGTGTATGATGAATATTTGTTACCTCGTTGTTTTTGTTTGGACTGTTTTCTTACTAAGGTCAATCCAAAAACTGATATTCTCTCCGTAAGTGACAATCTAAGCTCTTCCAGTTCACGACTATTTTCTACGGTCAAAACCCTGAATGCAATAGAAAATCATATCAATTATGTACAAATCAGTTATGGATAAAAAGTTGTTCACATTTATAAAAGGATGACAACAAAAAGGTAGAATTTTGAACGTCATAGAAAGTGTACAATTTCTTAATATTTTAGAAATTTGACATCTGTGTCTTTACAACCAAAATATGCCTAAAATATATATCAATCCAAATTTTTTATTGTATTATTTGTCCTTGATCACTAAATTAAAGACCAGTAATCTCTAATTTTCTTAAGTTTCTTACCTTTCTGTATGTTCTTTGTTTAAAGAAATTTCAAAGTCATTATTTCTTTTTTAACAACAACATGGAAAATAAAGATTTTACCGTGCCCAACTTTACCTTTAAAGGAACCAAAATTATAATAGTTTCTACATTCTATTTAAAGGCATCTTCTTGGGATATAAAGTCAGTAGAAAAGTGTATTGTTTTTTTTTTAAATAATAATAAGGTTATTGGTATAAAACTGTTTGAATTTTAGAAATTGTCAATAACTAGGTAAGAAATGGACAGAAAAACTCGGGGAGCTTTTTTCAACTTTGAATTTTTGACTACTACTGAACTAGTTCTGGACAGTGGTAGGCTGAAATAGCAGGTAAACTCTAAAATCTTTCGAAAATTTTAATTGTATACTTCATTTATAAATTTGCCATAGATAAACAGTTTTGTTCAAAAATTTTAATCTCTTAGTAATGTTTTTAAGAGAGTTTAATGATTTCTTTTGAAACAAAAAAAAAAATGTTTACCAGGCCTTGCCGTTTTCGCTGATATTGCCAAGAGGAGGTTTATTCATTCTAGTTGCATGAAAAAAGACATTTACTTCATCAGGATCAAATGTTATGAAGCCAGTTTTTTCTAAGTGAAACAAATCATTGAGCTGAGTTGGGTTTGACACAAATTCCTCCCACGGAATGATTATGAGCCCATTATACTGCGCATTATACTCTCGCATATTTGATGTAGATTTGCGAAATTTCCTTGCGGTTGTATTGTGCTCAGTAAGTCTGTCATGACTATCTTTTGACTTCGTGTTTTCATCTAAAAACGTCATCTGACCAGGATTTTGAAAAGGATTGGCATGGCTTTTCCTGATGTTGGAGATGCATGTTCCTCGAAGATAACCATCTACCATCACATTTGCACCAGGCAACGACCCGGAGTGTAAAGATGAAAGTGCTTCATTGTCCATCATAAGAGTCTGAAATAAAAGGAATATCAAACTCTGTCACAACTTCATAATATCAAGGTTTTGCGAGTCCATCATTTCTATATGAACGACATCATATGAAAATGAATCTGTTAAAGCATTGGACAGTACTTAATGACCGTACGAACCGAGGAGGGGGGTACGTAAGGGGTGTGTATGCCATTCTTTCCTAATAATTTTGTCCATATATAGTATTCTATAGAAAATATACCTAATGTATGATTGTGTCCCCTCAATAATAACATCTGATGGTCTTTTTTAAATGCCTTTCAAGTTGTGCCCCGCCTCCCCCCCAAGCTGAAAATATTTAGTTGTGCACCCCAAATTGAAATGACTTGCTCCGAGCATATACGGTATCAACTTTAATAATTCAAAAGTTGAGTAGCTACAGTAATTCATAACCCTGTTATTCTTGTTTGACCTCTAATATGCCCCCAAAAGGAGGAAAAGATCAAGACTTGATATGAAATATAACAAGTCAAGCACGTAAAGTATAAATAAAAATATCTTTCTTTTCCAAGCAGTGATCGAAGATCCCTCTACCATCCCCAAAGGAGGGAGAGGGCGTATGCAATCAGTGGCAAGGATCAAACTACGCGGTCAATGTTTTCAGGGTTATAACAAAGATTCCGATAAGCAACAACGTTTATTAGATCACATTTTGTCAGACAAGCTAAAGTGGGTATCTCTTTATGAATAGAGCAAACTTGAACGTAACGGTATGTCTTATTTAGAGCGCAACGGTATGTCTTATTTAGAACGTAACGGAATATCTTATTTAGAACGTAACGGTATGTCTTATTTAGATAATTCTTATCTAAAATAATTAGTAGTATATTGTTCGAAATGAGGTTTCCAAAATTGTAGACTTGTCCATCAAGATAAAGTCCAAACAGTGAATTATATAAGTTTTTCTGGTATAAAACTTCGACACCCTCATCTCCACTTCCCTCATTACTAATTCCGACGTGATCGAAAAAAATATAAGGCATGGTAAGGTTATTAAAATAAAATGCCTAACTATAGAACGTTTCATTTGGTTATCTTGACTGTTTCGCACGATTCAATAAAGAAGAAACAAAAAGCCTTACCTTTCAGCAAATAGTGTACATATTTCTCAGAGACACTAGACTACATATCGTACCATGGAAAATATATTGATTCTTAATCTTAAGAGGGTATGTTTTGTAAATAGATTTAAATACCTAATTCATTGAAAACTGAATTAAAAAATGCTCAAAGATATTAGAAAGCAATTCCTGCATTGAACGATTAAGAATCGAAAGGATTACTCTTAGAAGACAAAACATTTGAAATGTTTTAATCTTTTCTTAAGTATCTTTTAATCTGTCAATTGGCAGACAATTCTTATTTACACATGTAGTGTTTTGAACACGTAAATTGTCTGAACACCAGTTATATTTAGAACGTGTATACTGTATGTTACCATGTTCATTAAATGAGCACAAGGTATATATAAAACTAGATATTTCATAAGATTTTTTATTTTCAGAAATAAATATGCAATAGGGCCTGGGGATTAGCAAGATATAGACAAACTATTAATTCACAAAAATACCCACAATACGAGATATATAAAGCACTGAACAAACAATCCTAACAGACGAGAGAAAAAATTATCAATCACAGTTTTCATGTATAAATAAACTGTTTCATGAAAATTGTATCAAATGATCAATTCTTTCAATCTTTACCAGCTACTGATATGAAGAAAAGAAAAGCAAGTCTATCATGCAAGAGTTCCCGAAGAGCACAGTAGAACTGCTTAATTGCCTTGACATCACACCTTCGGGATTTCAGATGCAAAAAACTAATTCAAATCCTTCCGACCCCATTATGGACAGAAAATCTGGTGAATTTGACATATTAACCTTTCCGCGGTGTGTCAGTTTGAGAGACTTGCATCTCCCTGATAACGAATGTTCCAGACTTGTGAATACTTGCGTGCCAGATGGATGTACTTCAAAAAATGTTTTCTCTTCATGATTTTCAATTGTTTCATAGCCTTTATGTTGCAATTTTCGTAATGTGTATTTCTTATTTTTTTTTTTTTTTTACTTAGAAAATGCACATGCATTTTATGTTTAGTTTAATTTATGATTGTCTATTTTGTTCAATCTATAGCATTTTTCTTTTAAAAACAATTGAGTTTCGATGCTTGATCATTCAAGAATAGGAAACAAATGAGTGTCATTAATTAAATCTCCACATTTTGATGAGAAATAGTTGCCCTCTAAATTTACAGCTTTGCAAATTTTGAACATTTTCAAATTCTCTGTTTCTAAAAAGGTTTATTAAATTTCAGCAAATGAATCCTACTTAGTATACTACTGTAATACATGTGTCACATAGTAAATTTCACAAAATTAATTTATATTGTAACGGAATTTGATTTTATAAAAGGAATTATTTTTAATGCCTGTTTTTGACATATGCTTATAATTATTTGCCCAAAATTAATGTTTCGACAGTAATAAGAAAATTGTCACTCAATTTATGGAATTAGTGTCAATCCTTTGCCTAAAAGAGTGTCTGACTCGTATATGTGAAAGTCCGGGTCTATCCAAGTTTTTAAAGTTTATAATTAGAAAGTACAGGTACATCCGCATTTATATACCTTGACACGTGATGCCAAGCGAACCAATGACAAATCTCATTTCAATGTTTGAAAATAATATTAAGAAATAATAATAATAATAACTAGACTCTTGTTGCCATGGCAACAAAAAAGTCTTCCGTTCTTCTAAATCTGTAAGAATTTGCTTTTTCTGTGTTAAAAAACATACATATCATATTTACTGTGAAAGAAAAAAATAACTGGAAAAAAGTCCTTTCAGTACTTAAGGTACTTTGATTTTCATTATCAATCTTGTATAATACATTTGGCACCTATAAGAGATAAACGTATATCATTAGCAATTTAAAAAAAAAAATTGTTTGCAATCATTTCTAAGACAAACAAACAGACGAACGAACACCGTACTATCATAAACTTCATTGTGTGTATATTTTGGCATAATTGTGATGGTGTTATAAAAAAGTTAGTATCACACTAAACGTAAAGTCACTGAGTTTTGTAAAGTTATAATATCAAGATTTGACAGCATACCTATAAGACAGATTATTCAATTACAGTAATTCTTCAGCAATCGATTGATTGATTGATTGATTATACGTATGTTGCTTAACGTCCCTCCCCAGAATTTTTCACTCACATGGAGACGCCACCACTCGCCGGTGGAGACTGCAAATTTTTGTCCTATACTTATCGCAATTGAGCAGAGGGGAATCTTTTTTATGCCAGCACCTTCTGCGACAAGGGACCTCGATTTATACGATCTCATCCAAAGGACCGGTCTCCACGTCCCACAATCGAAGTTCATAATACCGAGATATTTTATTTTTTATTTTATTCTATTTTTTCACAAGTTTGTTGCATCAGATTTACTTAAAGATCATACTTCAAGATCATTTCGAACTCAGGCTACTTAATTGCAGTGCATACAGCGTCAAGGATTTTGATTGACAGGTCAACACACCTGCACTTCGTGTGATACTTTTTAAGCTGAAAAATATACAGGATGTGACCATGACTGACTATGAAATCAGAAAACATTTAATAAAGAATGGGTGTGACCGATATAGAACTAATTTTTGCTCTATTTAAATGGATAGGAGGATCGGGATTAAGAGGGAATCTCTCTCTCCCTCTCTCTCTCTCTCTTTCTCTCTCTCAGACGAAAATTGAACATTTCATAATGACAAATCTACCATTATAGAATATGAAATTCTGTATACATTTAAATGGTAATTATATTCACATGTTCCAGATTTAAATCTAAAACGAATATATAATTCGAATGCCTAGCTGCACGAACGTCTCCAAATATTAATCAAGACGGGGGGGGGGGGGGGGGGGGGAGGCTTCAAAGGAATTAGATAGTTTTATGTTTTATGAATTATAAGGAAAAGTACGGACGTCAGTTTCATGTACATAATTATATACTGTGTTCATTCAGGTATACTTATCCCACATATCAAGAGACCTGTGCAATTTTTTTATCATGGTTTTTTTTTCAAAAGAAACATATACCGTACTATTATTTCACACAGAATCGCGTTTTCACATATTTTTTTTTAACTCTTTGAGTATTTCACAAGAATCCAAGAATCACATCTTTTATAATTCCTTGGGTATATATAGAATATAAATCATGTGTCATAAATAATTTAACTCTTTATCAAATATACATGTAATAACCAAATCTAATCTATAGATTGATTTTCTTTCTTTTAAGTGGCAGATATCAATTTATTTATAAAGGATTTAAAAAAGTACTGTATTACAATTTTCTATCGCTCAATTCCTTTTTGAGTGTATGTAATATTTTTTAATATTGAAAATAAAACTCGGAAATCGGGATAATTTCGCATTCAAATCATAGAGAATAATAAATCGTCTACATTATAGAAGGCTTATAACTATCGTATTCTGAACTTACTATACGAGATAGATAAAATTGCATGCCTGTCCATCACTATAAATGTATATTCAGTGCTTATAATATATTTACTTGAATTAGGTACCTAGCATATATATTAATTTTTTTTAGATATATTCATGTGTAAATCAATTAACTGTCAATACAGACTTACACTACACTGGCAACTTTAAACTATACATGCACTGGAAGCGGTAACCAACGTACTCTTACATTTAGAAGAGTGAATATGGAACGTCTAAATATTTTGATATAGAGAGTGTATATGTCTCTGACGTCATCGATACTATTTCCGCCTTTATCTCGAAAGTTCTATTCTCACTTACAAGTCAGGGTTATCTTTCTTTGCCCATTGTTTACACACTAGGTAAATAGGGAAAATGACGGGACCTAAAATCTAGAAAATGCGCAATCCAATTTTAAAACAAATTATATATTTGGTATTTGTAGACTAATCTGTGTTATGCCTAACAATATCTTGAAAAAATATTAAAAAACAAAAAAGTCAAAAATTGACCGAAACACAAATTCACTTCCG